AAGGGGCGCGGTGGGTTTTGTTCTAGGGGGAGGGGCCGGGCCGGGGGGGTGACAAACTCACTGGGTTTCTTCCCACAGGGCCAACCCAGAGAGTCCCAGCGCGTGTCTGTGGGGGCAGGGCCTGGGGGGATTCGGGGGGCGACAGGGACTCAGGCCCCTTCTGGCACCTCCCCCAGCGCCCCTCTCGCCCCAACAGGCCGAGGAGACACGTCGAGAGTTCGCTCCAGAGCGCCCGTCTGCCAGGAGACGGGCAATGGCCAGGATGGAGCCCGCTCAGGTAAGGGAGCTGCTGTGCAGGGGAGGGAGGAGACAGGGTGGGATGAAGCTGCTGAGTTTCTGAGCAGGTCCATGGGCAGGGTGTGACCCCGCCCCCATTTCTAACCCAGGCCCCAGCCCGCCTGGGCAGGGCTGTGAAAATGGCCCAGACTCCCAATGCTGGGACCTGAGCCCCCAGCCAGAGGTTGCTGGGAAACACAAAGGGAAGCTGCCGGGATTCCTGTCCCTGCCTGTGGCTCAGAGCTCGGCTTCCGCCTCAGCCTCTGGCTAGCAGGTGTGTGGCCAGGGAGAAGTAGGGATGTGAAGGACTATCCGATAAGCACCAGGATAGTTGCCTAATCATAGAACCATAGAGCTAGACGAGACCTCAGAAGGTCATCAAGTCCAGCCTCCTGCTCCAGGCAGGACCAATCCCAACGAAATCAACCCAGCCAGGGCTTTGTCAAGCCGAGACTTAAATACCTCTAGGGATGGAGACTCCACCACTTCCTTAGGGAACCCATTCCAGTGCTTCACCACCCTCCTACTGAAGTAGTTTTTCCTAATATCCAACCTGGACCTCTCCCACCACAACTTGAGACATTGCTCCTTGTTCTGCCATCTGTCACTACTGGGAACAGCCTCTCTCCATCCTCTTTGGAACCTCCCTTCAGGAAGCTGAAGGCTGCTATCAAATCCCCCCTCACTCTTCTCTTCTGCAGACTAAAACCCAAATCCCTCAGTCTCTCCTCATAGGTCATGTGCTCCAGCCCCCCAGTTGCTCCCATGGCCCTTGTTGCCTGTATCAGATAGAGGCAGCGGGGGCAGAGGAGAAAATGGGGGAGGAGACTTCAAGGGGGAAACACCTCACAGAGCCCCAGGATCAGCTCCTCAGCTGGCCCCAGGCTCTGCACAGTGCTGCCGGTTTGAAATGCCGCACGGAGCCCCCAGCTGACCCCGGGCTTCGGTGCTTTCGCCTTTGAAATGTAGCAGCAGCCATACGAATATTGCTACACTCCAAAAGAGGAGGTGCCCTATCGAATATTGGATTAGTCAATTACCCAGTACTTAGCATCCTTAACGAGAAGGCCCTTATCCTCTGCTGAGGGGGATGAGAATGTCTCTGCCCATCCCCAGAAGCCTCCTGGCTGCTCTAAATAGGCTTGGGATGGGATTTTACAAGTTGAATGAGATTGCAGCAGGGGACTTTTGTTTTTTCAGGGGCCTTCGAGGAGGTGGCTGTGTATTTCACCCCGGGGCAGGGGGCGCTGCTGGGCCCCGCTCAGAGAGCCCTCTACAGGGACGTCATGCAGGAGAACTACGAGGCGGTGACCTCGCTGGGTAAGGGCGTCCTGGCCCCTCGGGGATTAGGAGCCGTGGGGTCTGCGTGTCCGACACGGGTCAGGTTCTTCCCTGCTCAGGTGGCCTGGACAGGAATGGGTTCCATGGGCACAGCTGCCGGGGGAGAGCGACTTGCATCTCCGCACCCTGTGCAGTGAGACCCGGGTGTCAAACCCTAATGGACGTGCTAAATCATCCCCACCCGGCCCCTCTAGATTTCAAGGTGGAGGGGCCATGTATCCTCCTGTCTGGGTTGTTTCTCACTCACGACCAATTTAACTGAAGAGCTGTAAGTATCAGCAAGGGCCCCAGACTGCCCAGATCCTGGGAAATCCTAGTGAGGGCATCACAATTCCTCTTCCCTCCCCACACGTCTGCCTCTCCCCAGGGGGCTCAGTGACCATGTTCCCATCCTCTTGGGTTGCACATTCCCCAGCAGAGCCCAGGGGCAGGTTCCACTCACGGAATGTCCCTTGGGACAGATGCTCTCCCCACCCTCCATGCGCCCTGATCTGCTCTGATTTCACCCCCTGCGCAGGGTTTCCCTTTCCCAAACCTGAGCTGATCGCCCGGCTGGAACGAGGGGAAGAGCCCTGGGTGCCCGACTGCCAGGCCAGGGAGGAAAGAGACATCCCGAGAGGCACTCGCACAGGTGAGGACTGACACAGAAACCAGCTAGTGAATGTAGGAAAAAGTTAAGAGTCCCAAAAATGAAGTATCAGTAATTGCCCTCAGGACTTCCTCCTTTTATGCAGGCAGGGTCTTGTCAGCAGATATTGTTCATGGTTTCTCACCAGTCCTATTACCTGCAGGACCTTCCTTCCCTTTGAGTGTTTGTGTGGGAAGAGGTGGGAAGATTCAGTTGCTCATTCTGTACAACATCAGTGTGTTGGGTTCACCTTGGTGCTGTTCCTCTTTCTCCCCAGCTCAATGACTCCTGCCTCTTTTTCTCTCTCCCAGCAGGTGATCCTATGAAAGAGGAAGAGACTCAATATGAGGAAGATCCAGGGGAAATGGAACCGCAGGCGACCTTTGTGGGAAGAGCTGAAGAGAATGTTTCCCAGTGCTTGGAACAGGGAGAAGCCTGGGGAAATTGGCCCAGGCCGGACAGGCTGCTGGAAAATAACCCAAGTGAGCAAATGGATGAACCTGTTAAATGCGGAGAAGGACATAAGGATCCCACAACCCAGCAGACAAAGCCCAAGGAAGAGAAACACCAGGAATGGCTCGGTTATGGGAAGGGATTTATTGTGAGCCCAGAGCTAATTTCAGTGCAGACAGTAGGTGCTGGGGAGAAACCCCTTCAATGCTTGGATCATGGGAAAAGCATCAATAGCAGCTCAGATCTTAATAGTGGCAGTAGAAGCCAAATGGGAAAGAGAGGCTCTCGGTGTCCTAAGGGAGGGAACGGTTTGAATTGGAAGTCAGCACAGGTGACACATGAGATAAGCCGTACAGAAAAAAACCCCAGTAAGTGTGTCGAGTGTGGGAAATGTTTCAAAGGGAAATCAGCCCTGATTAAACATCAAGCCGTCCACCCAGTAGACAGTCCCCATAAGACTTCAGGTTGTGGAAAAAGTTTTCTTCAGAGCTCGGTCCTCCTTAAACCTCAAGCGGTGTGCTCTGGAGAGAGACCCTATAAATGCTCAGACTGTGGGAAAAGTTTCAAATGGAAATCTGCCCTTGTTTCACATCAAAAAACTCACACAGGAGAGAGACCCCATCAGTGCTTAATCTGTGGAAAAAGTTTTACACGGAAGTCATCCCTTGTTTTACATCTGAAAATCCATACAGGGGACAGACCCTATAAGTGCTTAGACTGTGAGAAAAGTTTCATACAAAGGTCCGACCTCGTTAAACATCAGGCCATCCACACGGGAAAGAGATCCCATAAATGCTTGGAATGTGAGAAAAGTTTCACAGAGAGGTCATCTCTTCTCTCTCATCAGGCAATCCACACTGGAGAGAAACCCTATAAGTGCTTGGAGTGTGGGAAAGGTTTCATATGGAAGGCATCTCTTGTTTCACACCAGGCAGTCCACACAGGAGAGAAACCCCATAAGTGCTTAGACTGTGGGAAGAGTTTCATATTGAGGTGTGAACTTATTAAACATCAGGCAGTCCACACGGGAGAGAGACCCTATAAATGCTTGGAGTGTGGAAAATCTTTCAATTGGAAATTCAAACTTGTTAATCATCAGGCAGTCCACACAGGAGAGAGACCACATAAGTGCCTGGAGTGTGGAAGAAGTTTCATACGGAGGAGAAACCTTCTTAAACATCAGGCCGTCCACACAGCAGAGAGGCCTCATAAGTGCTTGGAGTGTGGAAAATCTTTCAATTGGAAATTCAAACTTGTTAATCATCAGGCAGTCCACACAGGAGAGAGACCACATAAGTGCCTGGAGTGTGGAAGAAGTTTCATACGGAGGATCGACCTTGTTAAACATCAGGCAAGTCATACAGGAGAGAGACCCCATCGGTGCTTAGACTGTGGAAAAACATTCATTCATAAATCAAATCTAAATCAACATGTGGCAGTCCACACAGGAGAAAAACCCCACAAGTGTGTCGATTGTGGGAAAAGTTTCCTACAGAGGTCATCCCTTGTTTTACATCAGAAAATCCACACAGGAGATAGACCCCATAAGTGCTTGTACTGTGGAAAAGGTTTCATAAGGAAGTCAGCGCTTACTCAACATCAGGCCATCCACACAGGAGAGGGATCCCACAAATGTTTAGACTGCGGAAAAAGATTCATATATAGGTCAAACCTCAATCAACATCTGGCAATGCACTCAGGAGAAAGACCCCACAAGTGCTTGGAGTGTGGGAAAAGTTTCAAAAGGAAGTCGGAGCTTATTCAACATCAGGGAATCCACACAGGAGAGAGACCCCACAAGTGCTTGGAGTGTGGGAAAAGTTTCACACTGAGGGCAGCCCTTTTTACGCATCAGAAAATCCACACAGGAGAAAGACCTCATAAATGCTTAGACTGTGGGAAAAGTTTCATACAGAGGTCAGACCTTGTTTTGCATCAGAAAATCCACACAGGAGAGAGACCCCATCAGTGCTTAGACTGTGGGAAAAGCTTCATAAGGAGGTCCGACCTCAGTAACCATCAGTTAATTCACACAGGTGACAAAAACAATAAGTGTTAAGCTGTGAAAAGTCTTTCACATAGAGGTCTGACATTCTTCAACAACAGGCAATGCACATAGGAGAGAGAGCTCATAAGTGCTTAAGGCAGTAGAAAAAAATTTCATATGGAGGTCAGCCCTGGTTTCACACAGGAAAATCCACACAAGAGAAAGATCGCATAAGAGTTCCAACTGGAAAAGGTTCATGTGGCTCTCAACTATTCTTGGTCATTAGGCCATCCGCACAGGAGAGAGACCTCACCTGTGTTTAATCTGTGCAAAAAGTTTTATATAGAGTCAGAGCTTTGTAAACATCAAGTACTCCACAGAGAAGGGAGACCCCATAGGCTCTGGGAATATGGGAAATTGTTTCACTCTAAGGGTGTGTCTGGCCTACAGAGTTTTTTTCGAAAAAAGTGGCCTTTTTTCGCAAAAACTTCACCTGCGTCCAGACTGCTGCTGCGTTCTTTCGAAATTAAATTGAAAGAATGCAGCGGTTTTTTCGACAGCAGTAAACCTCCTTTTACGAGGAATAACACCTGTTTCGAAAAAGTTATTTCTACGAGGAATAACACCTTTTTCAAAAAAGTTATTTTGAAGAAAGGCGTGTGTGGACGCGGGGAAACTGTTTTTTCCGAACAAAAAGCCTCCAGGAAAAAGCCCTGGTGGATACACTAGCTATATTCCTCGCACCTCTATTGTTCCTGTCAGCAGCCATGTTTTAAAGGCACAGGCATCCGGGCAGCTGTTTGTGTCAGGAAGCCAGCCACACCGCACGGCTCTTCCTGTCACAGTGTGACCCAGCCATGTCACAGCCCCAAGACCTCTCCTGGCCCTTCCAGGGAGACGGTCGAGGATGCACTCGGGCACCAGCATGGTCAGGACCATAGATCAAGATTCTGCTTGAGCTCTGATCGGAGGAGGAATCCTTGCAGGCCCTCCAGTTGTGCTGCAGGAATGTGGACATTTATGGGTGCTTGGCCCAGGGACTGGCCAGGAGAAGGCAGCACCCCTGCACCTCAGACCAAATGCAGGCCAAGCTGAAAGAACTGAGGCAGGGGGTGCGCCAAGGCCTGAGATCAGAACTCCTACGATCTGGATCACATTCTGGGCGTTGGGGAAGCCCAGGCTCCATTACCGGAGCATAGAGTTGAGCAACCCCAGCAGCAGCAGTTAGGAGAGACAGGAGAGTGTCAGCTGGAGCTGGAGGAGGAGGACAACGACACAGTGACCCTGATCCCGAAGCCGGTCCCCCAGGCTCCAGAGGCCGCCTAGGCATCTTCGGACACCGGGGAGGGAACATCAGGCGAGTGCTGTGAGGTTGCGCCACACGCAGGGCAGGGGAGGCGGGTACCCAGTGGCCGATGCGCGAGCGACACGTGTAATGCTCAGCTTGGATAGCATGCAGCTAGCCGTGCACGTGCAAACACGTACAGAGCAGTGTGTGGCACATGCGTGTGCGAGACGTGGTGCCGGGAGCCTTTCCCGGAACACACAGGGACGGATTGGCAGTGTGCGGGGGAGGGGGACATATGGTCCCATTGGCACTTTGGGGGCCCTATGATGCTACGGCTGCTGCCCAGCTCACACATAGTGTTACTTACAGACTCTCTGGGTCCCCTGTCTGAAGGAGAGTTCCTTAAAGCAAAGGCATGCCCTCGGGGACAGCGGGTGCATGCATGAATGATTGTCTCTTCCTGTTTTCCTCCACAGCCGGACTACCCACGCTAGAGGGTCGCAACATGCTAGCCCCACCACCATCCCGGACACATGGCACCCGCAGGCACTGGCGTCTCTACACAGACGCTATAAAACAACGTGGAGTGGCCCTGCAGGAACTTAACAAGACTCTGCAAAAGAGGGCACAGGCAGAGGCCGTGTGGCACAAACAGCTGCTGGACGAGCTTGTCCAGCAGCGGACTTGCATCTGTCCCTGGTACCCGCTTCTCCTGCACGCCATGACTTTGCTCCTCCAAACCCCCGCTTCCCCCTTTGTACCCCCTCTCCCTCGGCGCTCCCAGACCCCATTCCTATCCAGCACACTACTATCTCTCGCCCCACCCGATCCCAAGACCATGGAGGTCCCCGGACGCAAGGCGGCAGGAGACTGTGGTCAGGAAGCACCGTGTGATCAGAACCCCCTCCTGTCTCTGTTTTACAGCCCTCCCCCCCGTCCAGGTTTTCAGCCCCCTCCCCTGCCCAGTTACAGAAAGTTGTGTTCATGTCACAAAACATTTATTTTTTAATAAAAACTTTGCTTTAGCAGAAAACTGTACAATGACAATAACGAGGTATATTTTAGCAACATTTAGCAATTTTTAGTTATTGATATTGATTAAAATATAACACGAATTTTTGTTTACAAACAAAACCTGGTGTTTCTCTCTTATTTCTGGAAAGAGGGTCAGGATGAGGGTTGTGGAGGGAAAGGTATTGGTGGGCCAGGCAAGCCTGCATAGGGGAAGCTATGGGGAGAGTCATTGGGCTCCTGAGAATCTCTCCTTCAGGGCCTCTCGGATGCAAAAGCCAGACTGGTGAGCCTGGCGGATGGTAGCTGTCCGGGGCTGCTCGAATTGTGTCCCCTCGCCATCAGGAACATTATTAAGGACCCAAAAGTAAACTATTCCACTGCATAGGAATGATCAGAAGTATGGCAAGAGACCACCTTGGTTTAACCAGGAGATCTTACATGATCAAACAATCAAAAAGGAGGTGTATAAAAAATGGAAACATGGTCAAAGTACAAAGGCTGAATATAAGCAAACAACACAGGTTTATAGGGTCAACATTAGAAAGGCGAAAACCCAAAGGGCGCATCTACAGTACAGCATTATTTCGAATGACGCACGTTATTGCAAAATAAGGGGAACATCCACACAGGAAGGCTGCTACTTCAAAATTATGTTGATATAGTGGGCGTCTTATTCCAAAACCATCACCCCACCGGGGAACATCCACACAGGAAGGCTGCTATTTCAAAATTATGTTGATATAGTGGGTGTCTTATTCCAAAACCGTCACCCCACATTTCACGAGGATTAACGCCTCTTTCGAAATTGTTCTTTCAAAATAGGGTGGACACCGGTGCCGTGCTTATTTCGGAATAATTGGCCTCCAAGGCTTCTTACAGCTGCCCTAGTGGCCACTCTGTCCACTCACATCAAAACTCTATGGTTTCCCTTCCCCTGCAGCCTTTAAAGGTGCAGGCAGAAGGGAAGGTGTTTGTGGCACCACACCGACCCTACCAGTCCCATGCTACACAGCAAGAACTTTCCCTGCTGCCATGAGCGACTCCAGCACTCCCACTGAGCCCCTCCCCACCATGGCTGCAAGCACTCCGGCAGCCAGCTCCAAAGCCCCAGGCCAGGGGCAGAAGAAGAAGGCTCCTTCCTGGTCCGGTGTGGAGATCCTGGATCTCATTTAGGTCTGGGGAGAGAAGGCTATTCTCCAGGATCTCCGCACCAGGTGCAAGAATATCAACATCTTCAGAAGGGCCACATGCACATCCAGGAGTAGGTGCGCTTGAAAATAAAAGAACTCAGGCAGGTCCTACACCAAGGCCAGGGCACAAAGTTCCCAATCAAGATTGGCATCCCAGACCTGCCGCTACTTTGAGCAGCTGTATCATATCCTGCGGGGGAAGGGGGGGGAGTTAATCCCTTCCCCTCTTCCCCCCCCCCCATTGTTGGCTGTGGCCTGGAGATGCCCATCGTCAGCCTTCAGGAGGGCAGGGCTGTGGAGGAGAAGGAGGAGGAGGAACCAGACAGGACACGATGCCATACATCTAGGAGATCATCATCCCAGGATGTCTCCCAGAGTTTGGACGATCCCAGGGAAGGCCCATCAGGTGAGTTCCATTACTTTCTCTAGAAAGGCAGTCGGAGGTGTGCTGCGGCAAACAACAGAATTCAAAATGGACACTCTTAAAGGAGCAGGCGATCTTTTTTTTTTCTCAGTAACTTTTCCCTCCCCCCCTTTTTTTTTTTTTTTTACACTCAACAAAAAATTCTTAGTGTTCCCCATAAAAGAAAAAAATTGTTTGGTGTTCCTTGGTCTTAAAAAGTTTAAGAAACACTGCTCTAGATACATGTGGGGTTCTTCTGAGCTTGGGGCTCATGCGACAGCCTGTTATTTTGAAAGAAACCCCTTTGTTCAAAATAACCTTACTCCTCAAAAAACGAGGCTTAATTTAATTTGAAAGAAAAAGGGGTTTCTTTCAAAATAATCGTATCTACATGGAGTTCTTTATTTCAAAATCGGGTATTTCGAAACAATGGCGGTCCACAATTATGCAAATGAAGTGCAGGAAATTCAAATCCATGCTTCGTTTGCAATTTCGCTCATCTGCATTTGCATTCCTCTCTCGGAAGAGGAATGCAATGTAGACATACCTTGGGTTTTTCTCTGTTCCAAAAGGTGATTTGGTGCCATACTTGGATATGAGAGGAGTGTGACAGGATGTAGTGCAGATGTACAGAGGGCATCATGAGACAAAATGTTCATTTGCCAGAATGGCCCTTTTCAATTTCACCTTTTCTACCCCGTGTCAGCTGGTTTGGTTTGGTTTTTTTTAAATGTTGACAATGGCAGTGATCAATCTCCATCAGTCCAGACTCTGAGGAAGCATCATTAGCAGTTGCAATTTGCCCTAAAGAGCTTTTACCATTACACACTCTGTCTATGTCTACACTAGAGGGTTTTGCGGGCAGAGTATGCTAATGAAGTGCTCATTAGCATTTGTTGCGCTGTCATTAGCATATTCTCTGCCCGAGGCTTTTTGCGCAAGAGGTTTTTGCACAAAAACAAGCAGCATAGACAGATCTGTTTTGCGCAAAAACTTTCTTTTGCGCACGATCCTTATGCCTCAAAACCTTCTAGTGTAGACGTAACCGCTGCATTTTCCAGTCCCGCCCCCATACTTAGCATTGGCACCCTTGACAGGGTCATCATCCTCTGAGCTCCCAGTAACAGCATTCACACCAAAGGGGGTAGCATCGGGGTATGTTTAGCTAGACTCAGACAACTGCCCAGAGTCACACACACACCCCTTCACAAATCTCCCTGTTAGTTCCAGGTAACACAAAAGAGTCACATTCATACTGGTTTGGGGGCTGATTGATGACATCAACCTAATATCTGCCTCATTACAATCAAAGCACTTTCCAACACTGTTATATATTGGTCTTCCAGAAGGATACAGCCTCTCCTCTTCTTCCCTTTCTGTTTTGATTTTAAGCTTACATCTGGCAACTTTCTCCGCAGCTATCCTGCCTCTTGTTCCATTTGCCTTTCCTGGGCTTTTGTAACTGGGCAGGCCAAGTCCTGTAGCTAGACAGGGTCATAAAGAAGTCCTCCAGGCCGGCTAGAGGAGCTGGGAAGAAAGCAGCCAATCAGGGGCCAGAAAGGACTACATAAGAAGATGCAGTGCTGATCTGAAGGAGAGAGGACGAGGGATAACTGGCCTGAAGGAGCGTCCCTGTGGGGAAAGCTGCTTAGAGACTATGAACTGGATGAGAGAGTCCTGAGCTAAGGGCAAAGGGAGCTGTCTCCAGCAAGGGGAGCCCTGGGGGCACCACTCTTGATGGAAGAAGGGCAACAACCTACGAGACATGTCTGGATTCAGAGACGGTCCACAGAGGGCACCCTTGTTAGAGGTGAACCCTGGCAGGGGTTGTGATTTCACACAGGAGCGAGCCACAAGGCTTTTAAAGAGACAGTGCAAACACACTCAACCAGACAGGGGTGCTCGCCGGGGCAGAGGGGGGAGAGGAAGGGAAGCAGGGGTGCCAACCCTGTTCCAGCTTTTCTTTCAGTGCTTTTGCGGAAAAGCGTCCGTGCCAATCTCGATGCTCTTTTCCGAAAATGCTTTTAACAGAAAACTTTTCCGTTAAAAGCATTTCTGGAAAATCATGCCGGTCTAGACGTAGCCTCGTTGTTTTTTAAGTTTATCCTGTACAAACAAACTTGGCTGCTTGTGAATTATTTTGTGATCTGTGACAGTAAAATTGTTCTTAGCACTAACATGACAGTGGACTGGACGACTTGATTTTAGTTTTGTTTGAAATATTTTATGAACTCTAATAATAAAAGTCTTGACTCCCCCATGAACAAAGAGAAATAATTAATTAAACCTTTTAGCCAGCATATTCTGGTGTAGAAAGTGGTGCAGTCAGCGAATTGAAGTGACCGGGTGGTTTATGCAAAACGTGGTATCTGTTGGTAATCGGCAGGTATGACTTGAATTTGCATAAATCCGAAAACTCTGCAAAATAGGGAGGAGATTGGAGAAAATAGAGTCCGCGCGGACCCACTCTGAGGCCACCAAACATCCCCCCAGGCTGGCTGCTCCCGAGGGGTCTGTGAGCGGGGCAGAGCCAGGCCCAGGGGCGCAGCGCAGCGCGGATGGCGGGTGTCTCGCTAGGACCCAGCAGCAGCAGCAGCAGCAGGCGCGGGGGGGGCGATCGGTGGGTCCGGGCCGCCCCCGGGG